ACTATGCGTGTGTCGTTTCATGCGACATGCAGCTATGGCCTGACAGTTGCTGCCCATCTAACACATTCAACCACCTACTGGGTTGCTGTTAAGGAACTGAAAATTAAGTTACTATATTATTGGGGAAACCCTACTATTTTCTATATATACCCATTATGGTAACTTAATTTAAGTTCCTTAACAGCAACCCAGCCTAGTGAGGGTTTAGGGTAATTATCTTCTAGGCAGCTAGTACTGGTTGCAAGGGGTCTATTATCGTGAGTGGCAGCGTACCTCGTAGGTGGGCGGCCTAAGCCTTGAATTTAGGGTTTAGGGTTTAGGGTTTAGGGTCTAGGGTTTAGAGTTTGGGATTAAGGGCTTAGAGTTTGGGGTTTGGGTTTAGGGTTAGGGGGTACTTGCTTGGCGTTAAGGAGTTCGGGCTAAGGGTCTGGGGTTTACCTCCTGGAATATCGTGCCAATGAGTTATATCATAGTTATGTATGGGATACAGGGCATAAAGTATGGGGCAATACTGCTTCATCAGGTGATTTTTGATAACCTCAACTCACAAAATTAAGAATAACATAGAAAGTTACATGGAAAATGTAATGGGAACTGGGGACATATAGGGGTTACATAGGAATTTGTAGCGTCTGATAAAGGGATTTCACCCCAAATTGGTTTTCTGTGACGACCATGTCACTATAATATGGTCCTCGTTTTGCTGGAGACCCCTTCTTTGCTGTGTGTCGGCGGCCACTGAAAGATTTCCAGGTCATTGCTAGAAGACCTTTTTTCATGTGTGTTGGTTTTGTGATCCTACCAAAACCGGAGCCATCCCCTTGAACACCTTGAATTGTTCCCCGAAGCCCTGAGTGCTGTGGGAGCCTCATAGACCCGATACATGAAACAAAGTGCCACATCACAAGGGCCTGCCCCCTTGGTGAAAATATGATAGGTTCTCAAACCTATGGTCCCATTTAGGTCCCCAGTACAGCCCAAGGAAATTCTAAGGCCAAGCAGAATTGTAGTTTCAGCCCAAGTCTGAATACGCTAGCTCCCTTCATACCCTATACCAGGTTCCCCAGTGAACCCTAAACAATAAGAGTACCCTTTTCCCTACTGTTCTGCTTTAATTAGGAGACCCCCAAACAAAAAGGGTAAAAGGGTACTACTGGGGTACCTAGCTATAGAGGTCCCTTGAGTAGGGTTATTTTTGGGTCATACCTACAAATACAACTGGGTCATGAGTAACCTGAAGATCTGAGTGGACAGTATGCGCCACACGGATATGGTTCGTGGTCGTTTTCTCCTGGACTTTATGAGGCTAGACCGAATCTGGGACACATAGGACCATTCATCTTCTGAAGGTTAGGGTCAGAATGGCCCGATCAGATATATAGATTAAGCGGCTAGGTCCTAGGGGTAGGGCTTCGGGTCTAGCTTGTTCAAGCTTAGGCTGGGGTGGCTTCTGGGTATCCTTTTCACATGCGTTGGGCCCAATGGCAATTACACGCAGAATGCTCTCGGAAAGGCCCAAGTTATCCTTTTTGCGGTCCCTATCTCACAAGCTGCTACCTGTCCATGGTAGCAGCTGCCAAATGCAAACCTGCGGGGCAGCCCCTCAGCCGCCTACAAGGTGGAACCCCTTCTCAGGGCGATCATTCTCTAACTTCCCCAGTAAACCCATAAAAGTAAGGGCACCCTTTTTCCTAATATTCAGCTTTAATAAGGAGACCCTAAAATCAAAAGGGAAACGGGGTACTACTGGGGTACCTAGTTCTAGGAGTTTTGATAATGAGTGCAGAAGCCTAAGCACCTGCACCCTATGCCCACTAAAATGCGATAACATACTTTTGAGGTGTGCTTTTTGCTTCGTTTGCTTTTCCGTAAGAACTTCCAAAAGGATCACCCAGACCCCGCGGCATGGTCTTCTATGGTGTAACAAATTGCGGCTTAGGGCCACATGAGTAATGTTTTCTTGGTGGTTGACCCTAATAAGATTGTATGCTTTAAGAAACATACAATACTCCAAAAGGAGGATATACTTTTACTCTATATTGGGTACCTAGCATCCCCAAATAAAATACTACCCACACTCAGTCTGTACATGTGGGAGTTGAGCAAAATTGGCTTACTCTTGCAGGTCGAACTTACTGCAGCTGATAGAGCTACATGGGTCGTTTTGGTACCCCTAAGTACTAGGTGCCGCAATATAGTCTATAACCAAAAATAAAGGCCCATATGTCTAAAGTGACCGCTGATTTTGGAACGTAGGAAATGGTGGTTTCACAAAATAGTGGAACCCCAATATGGGCCCCAAAATAGTATAGTCCTTATTATGGGGACCCCCTAAAGGGTACCCTAATTTTGCGAAACCCCCATATACTGTACAGTAAACGCCTCGATAGTAAAGCAAACAACGAGCTTGCAATAATCCCGAAACAGTGATCCCATACACCCTGCACTGCATGATGCATCTCTTTGGGAACGCCATGTCCCTGAGTTTTCCAAAAATCTACTGAGTCCCTGGGCTGAAAGAAGGCCTCAACATGACCGGGCCGATTAGGGTGTGTATATGTATATATATATATATATACGTTTTGGGGGGCTCGGAAGTGCTGAGTGAGTGCTTTCCTTCTGCAGCAGCCTAAATAACTACCAATACCATCTGGAGGCTTGTTTGAGGTACCGTATACAGGCATTGTACAGTGATTATAGGACAATAACATTGGTAATTCTGTAGGCCCCAACACTACTGAGCCAGTGAGAGACGGCACCACCTTGCACCGCGTCATGGATGCCTTCGAGAGCGTGTGCCTTTGGCCCAGCAAGCTTTACAGTGAAGGCTTTGTACATGCCCGGCACGTCAATAAATGAGAACTTCCAGAAATGAACACGCAGCACACAAGCAGCTCTATATTCAGTCGGCTCGCCTTCTGCGGCTGCTATGTTTTTGGAAGCTCTCGGCGATTCAAGGATTAAGGCTGAAACCTGTACGAACGGCTTAGCGCGATCCAGCCAGGACGGATGCAGCGCCTATGATCGAAACCAATATGGGGGTTTCTCAGAATATGCCTTCCTCCTATAGTCCCTGAAGTCAGCCTATAATCCCTATCCAAAACTCCAGATATGCCTAGGGTCCCCAAAACCACCCCCCATTTTTAGAAACTCCAGATCAGTTGAGCCATGGATGGAGCAGATTTAGGATTGCCCCAAATGGGCTCACAAAGTAATGCGCCTTCCCAAGGAATTCTATAAGAATGATTTCGGTGTTCTTCCCTAAACGGTACTTGACGAGCCTTTCTCTTTTTTTTTTACCTGGGCACTGATTTCATGTTTGCACAAGTCAACAAGGAACTCTCGCAGGCCATCAGGCCCCTTTATTCTTACAAGCTCCGGGTACGTATAGAAGCTACCTAGGCCATTTGTTGACACTCAACTCAACATCCTGCATGATATTGGTATGCTAGACCACCATAGTGCCTAGGGTATCAAGCACTCAGGGATATGCAGGATTCGTAGCACTCCTAACGGCTCATGCCTTAAGCTTAGGTTCCCGTGCCCCGAAGGAAAACAAAGATCGTCTTGGCAGTTGCTTAAGGACATTTCATCCAAGAAGAGTCTACATGAGCTTTTCGTTAAACTCCTAGCATCCCGCTCTAATAAGGCCTGTTACACTCCCCTATATCACCCGCTATGTAACCCCGTTCAAAAAAGTTAGACTATACCTCACATGGACCCGGTAAGCTCTAAACCCCTATGCCTTCGGCCCTCAAGCCCTTGAGCTCTAAAACCCTTCATTAGGGTTTAGGGTTTAAGGCTTAGGGCCCCTAAAACTTAAAGCTAATCAGGCATGCTGCGTCTTGGGCTTCTCGCTACATGCGCCTAGGTCTATTGGACTTAGTGTTCAATGTATAATCCCAACGTGCAGTCCATTTTCGGTCGATTTTGTTCCGTTTGATACTCCATTTTTGGTGGTCCCAAATTGAAGCTAACCCCTATATATCCGGACATGACCATAAATCGTAAACCCTTAACCCTAAACACTACCCCATACATGCATAACTGTTGTTTTCCAGCTAGGCTTACAGCCATGGGCTCAGCTGAGCTTAGGAGGCACGAAGGCGATGTGCGGAATGGGCGAAAGGCAGAGGCTAACCTGACGGTTTATAGACCCTGTAAGTAGATAGACTATGAGGTATATTATTGGGGTTATATTATATAGGGATCATGGAAAAGAAAATGGAAACTACTATAGTGGATTATATGGGGGTTTTGGGTTTAGGGCCCCTTAAGTAGATGGAATATGGGATATACAGGGATCTTATAATGATATTGGCCAATTCCATATTCTATCTACTTAAGGGGGACTATAGGGCTTGGGGTTTCAGGGCACCTGGAAGATGCCAAAACAAATGGCTTAGGGTCAAGGGCTCAGAGCTCGGAGGGGGCTATATTGGGCAATTTGGGGGCCTAGCATATCAAACCGAGTTCTACTGTACTATACTTATATTAGGAGTAAAGGGGAAGCGAACAAAACGGCACACATTCAAGCTCCTACATTGATGGTTTCAGTGGTTGCACCAAGTGAGACTATACTCTTCTAGAAAAAATCCTACTCAACCGAGGAGAGAAGCGCATTCTGTATCTGGGACTAAAATACCCAATCAAAACTATTGCTCAAATGGGGGTTAGGGTTTAGGATGTCAGGCTTATAATCCCCCGTAAGCAGATAGAAGATGGCTTTGGGTATATTATAATAAGATCCCCATATACCCCATATTCTATCTACTTAAGGGGACTGACGCTTTAGGGCGCAAGGTTCAGGGCGCGATATTTAGTGCTGAAGTTTCTAGGGTGTTGCGCTTGAAGCTACTGAGAGGTCCCTTTTTGGGAGTGCCTTCAATAAGAACTTGACTATTTTGAGGTAAGACCCAAAATATACGCATGTATACGGACTGGGATGCTTAAACGAAACAACATTCTGAACTTGTTTTTCTGAACTCCAGCCCCGCCACGTCCTTCTCCAGCACAACCTTCAATCGGTGGAACCAGATTCCCACGAGAATATTGTAAAGACCGCAGGACACCATCAAATGCCATCCCCAAGCATGGAAGTTCCAGTAGTCATACGAAGGCAACCTGGGCTCAAGGTTGGGTTTAGGGGTCCCAGTCTAGGGGTAGGCTTTAGTATTCTTTTAAATTAACTTTTTGCGTGTCTGTACACAAGGGTTCTTTTGTGGTGAGGTACCTATAAACAAAATGACATATTAGGGCCCATTCCTGTTTTAGAAATTACCACTCGTTGAGGTAGTAAGTGACAAGGAGCAGCATGTCCCCCCATACTGTACTCTTCATAGGGCCTGCATTGTGGTTCTATGCTTACTTCTGCGGTTTTGCTCGCCACGACTGTGTGTGTGGGATCTTCTCCGACTGGGGGTGCCTTCGGGACCATATGCGCACATACCCTCAAACCCTAAACTCTAAGCCCTAAACCGATTGTAAAAGGCCTACTAGGGTTCATCATACAAATCTGGATCCTGCAGCGTGAGGCTTGTTCGGAGAACTTACCAGAAACCAGGTTGGCTTCTATACCTCAACCACCACCGCAAGGGTCTCTATACAGGGGGGGTTCTTAAAATTAGGAGGTGGTTAAGGTTTAGGGTTGGGGTTATAGGGTTTAGGCTTAGGGTTTAGGGGTCTGGTTTAGGCTTTAGAGTTTGATAAAATTGTGGGTACCCTTTTGGGGGTCCCTACAATCAGGATTTTAATCTGTTGGGGTCTATATGGGGGTCCCCCTATTTTGGGAAACTACCAAATATTCTTTTGAACCTTCCGCTTTCTTCTGCTACTTGTAAATAATTGAGACCAGGGCTGTCAAAAGAGAGGCTGCTGATGAGATCTCAAGATTTTGCGGCTTTACCGTTGTCCCCCAATGTCTGTCTGTTTCCTGCAGCAACAACACGCAGTACCTACACTGCAATGGATCGATTGACGAAATTCAACTGGAAAACCCCTACACCCAAGCCTATTATCTACCATGTAGTCCAAGTTTCCATTTCATGTTCCGATTGATTATCATTCATTCTCCTTCAGTCCAGAAATATAGCCTTATGCATCTCTATGCAACCCTAATGCTGGGATTCTGGGCTCAACGGTTTACAATCAGAAATAATTGGGAGAAGGGACTCAGGGTTCAGGCCGTATCTTGAATATAAAGAGCGGGACCCCTACATAAACCCCCAAATACTACTGTCCTTCTTATAGGAAACCCCAAAAAGCGACCCTGAAAAGACTACTGCTGTGGGGGTTCCCCGTGACTTTTGTGAAAGGTAGGTTTAGGGTTCAAGGCTTAGGCGTAGAACACACCTGCAGCCTGCGTCAGCATGGTTCTAAATTAGGTTTGAAACAACCAATGTCCCAACCCTGTTTCAAAATTCTGGTCGCTGCACGCGGCATGCGAAGCAACTCTGATTACTCCCGAGCCCTACACAAGATTGTAAACATTGAGCCTCTTGCCCCTGATAACCCAAATGAGACCACAACATTACATTGGAAATCAATTTAAGCCCCTTTCCCTAAGGGTCCAAGTACCCAATAATCATATACTTACCCAAACCTGTACTAGTTATTATTACCCCAAACCCAAGTACCCAATTGTTAGGTACTTGGACCCTCTGGGTTTTGGATGCCTCAAAGCCTCCACCCCCAAACCCCGAAACCCCAAATCCCCTGAGCAGGGTGCAGAGTTTAGGGTCTAGGATAAGGGTCAACGTGAGTAGTTGATAGCTTGTCCTATATATGTATATACATAAATATGTATATATATATATATGTATGCACGCATATGTAGGTATGTGGGAACCGATGGGTGACCAGCTTACTTACCGTTCAAGTAATTGGACCCTTTTGGTGACATTCTAATTAAGCTAGAAGCCTGAACCGCATGACCCTATATGAGCTATAGTCTACACTCCTAATATCCCCCTTAATATCCCCTAAAGTACTCCCCTATATAATCCCCTATATACCCCCTTTAAGGAGTTTAGACTATAGCTCATATAATCCCACAGACTCGAAACCCTGAACCCCAAACCCTTGAGGAGCATGTGGAGATACTTGCACAGCTTAAGGTCCATCAGCCACACGGAGATTGCCACTAAGAGGGCCGCAAAGCCGTACCTGATTTTCCACATTCTTTCGGAGCTCAGGTTCAAGGACCTGTTCATGTGAGCCACTGTCTAAACTCCTAGTATCCCCCTCAATAAGCCCCATAATATTCCCCTATATAATCCCTATATAACCACCCTTTAAGGAGTTTAGACTACAGTTCATGTTGTATCCGGTCCGGTTTGGGGACAGAGCGAGAGCTCCCCACTGTTGTCTCGCACTTTACAACCGTATTGAATGTACTTCTGATGTTTTTCTCGACGTCCCTCAAGTCAGAGCTGTCTATCTCTTCGCTTATGGCCCACTTTGTAAGGGGTCATATAAAGCCTTCCAGAAGGAAATCGGTACTTCATGGTCCGGGATCGCGCCTTGCAGGACAACAAATGCAGCTCGATCGTGAAACACAACATGGAGCGTAGGTACTGCTCGTCATTTCGAAAACAAAGCAACATCTGAATTGCTAAGTTGGTGTTCCGCAGACCGATATCGAGGATTCAGCTCTTGTGTGACAAAGCTTAACTCCGGCCACGCAAGAAACTCAGGCAAAGCAGGGAGCTGGGCATATTGGGGGAAGTCGTAGCCACCACGAATGGGATGTTCTCCCTTTATTGATTGCTCTCGGAAAGCTTCTGGCTTGTCTTAGGAACCTGCTGGTTTGGCACGGAATCAAGGCGAGGGCTAATACTTGCCGAAATGCAAACATGTAACAAGGCCTCTGAAGAGTGCCCTAAACTCATCGGATCCCATAAAAAGATCTATGAATATGAAACTCCAAACTCAACACCCTACGTGTCTAACGCCCATTTCAAGAGCATGGACAACTTCTCGCAGGTCGGTTCTGGACCTAATCTCTGAGAACAGCCAAGCTACGACATCAGCCGCCGCAGCTCCAGCATGTCCTGCGGTGATCTGCAGCAACAACAAACTGACCCTTCCTTGTTTAGGATACAACCAACACAAAGCTGGGCAAGCAGATTTTTACTTCACTTCGCATACATAGACACACACACACATTTGGGAATGTGTCTGTGTGTGTGCATATGAGCTAAACTCTAAACTTCTAGTGTCGCCCTTAATAACCCCTATGATACTCCACTGTATAATCCACCATATAACTCCCCTTTGAGGAGCTTAGACTATGCCGGTGGCTCATATGCATGCGTAGACTCTCACGCTTGCCTGCATGTATGGACCCGATGCACGTCCTGCGGCAAGCTGCGAAAGAAGACCGTCACCTGCGACAGCTTCTAAACGAGTTGGGTTACTACGGTGGACATTTAAAAATCCGGCGTGACCCTAAATACCTTATATACCTTGGGAATTATGGTACCGCAGCAAACTAAGGTCAGGTAGAATTTTTAGTGTCAACAGTATCCCCCCCTCCTAGTACATGGGCCCTCCCGAATGAAGGTCTTATTGGGACCACTGGGGAGTGTTATGCCTCATTTCTAGGGGGATGCATCTGATGGTATGGCAGTCATAGGGTCCTAGTTTTGGGGGTCAGGGTTACCAATGTCAGTTACATTAAAACCATAAAGCAAGAAAGGCTCCCACAGAACATGAGCCATAGTCTAAACTGCAAATATCCCCCCTAATAACCTACACAATTTAGGGTTTAGGGTCTAAACTCCTAGTGTCCCCCTTAATAACCCCTAGAATATCGTCCCCCATGGAAGGTTATAACACCCTGTTGAGGAGTTCAGACTGTAGCTCATATGGCAATTAGGTAGCAGGGCCCATGGGATGACAAAGGCGCCAAAGGATAAATATCCCCGAAACTCTCGTAGCACATAGAATACTATAATACTGCTGATACTAACACTAATACGAAAAGAGAAATGGTAAGAGTAAGCGTAACAGAAGGTAAAGAGAAGACATGTGCGTAGAGATGAACTCAGGCTTCAAGTGTCTGGAGGTTTGAGAAGAGAAGTCAAGGAACGTTTTGGCTGCTCAGGCATCAAACCTTGAGCCATATTACCCCAGGAAAAGAAAAGGCTCGGTCTTGTCCATGCCGTCCACGCCCCTCTAGAGGAGTTGGTCAAGGCCGTAATAAGGAGATCTGGTGAAACTCGCCCCGGAAGCCAGCAGCAAAAGGAGCGGTTTGGGGTGGGCAGGGTAGTGGCACTGTTACTAAATTACTAATTACTGATTACTAATTACTGGTTACTTCCTACGGTCTTCAAAATTGTAACTAACTTTGAGTTACTGGTTAGTAATTACTAGTTATTATGACAGTTATTACAGAGAAGATGGAACCCTGTGGAAGGATATGCGGGCAAGGAGAGAAGTATTCGAAAAGGCAAGTCTCGACAACCTACACGATTCAGGGTGTAAGGTTTCGGGCTTAGGGTTTTGGGGTTGGGCCTCAGGGTTTAAGGTTGAAGGTTTAGGGCACAGGAATATCATAGGGATCCACTCACCGACTCACCTTAAGCACCCTGTACCCTAAGGGTCCAAGTACTCAATAAGTAGGTAGTTGGGTTTTGGGTAATGGTAATTATAGCACAGGTTTGGGTAAGTATATGATTATTGGGTACTTGGACCCTTACCTACACCCACCAAAACCTGCTTTAAAGTGGGTAACTCTTCAAAAACCGGGTTTTCCACAAGAAAACCTGGTTTTCGGAAGGTAGGAAGAAACCCGCTCTTCCACGACGGGTTTTTACGGGATTCGTACGGGTTTTTATGGGTTTCGTACGGTTTTTTTTATGGGTTTCAGGCGGGCAACAAATTTGAAAACACGGTTTCAAGTCCGGGCACCAGGTTTTTGGACAAAGCGCCTAAAAACCCGGTTCCTTGGGAATTACCTGCTTTAAAACAGGTTCTGGAAGCTCCAGGTAGGGGTATGAAGCACCAGTAGTTCAACGCACTATGTGCACGCAAAACGGCTTAGTTGTCCTTGTGCAACTGTGGCACACCTTGTCCCACTTCTAACTGAAGTCCACATTCTCAACTTTCTTGTTTAGGCTCTGGTATGATGATTGCCTAAGCCCCAAAAGTATGTAAAATCAGAGCCCCAAGTCCTTAAAAACTGACCAAAAGGCAATTATTCTACATACTTTTGGGGCTCAGGTGAATTTCATTTGATAGGTTCCGCCTTGCAAATCGCAAGGAAGGTTGCGAACCCAAAGAAGGCGTGGAATGAGAACCACTGCCTGAGGTATAGGTTTATAGTCCCCCTTCAGTAGATAGAACGTATGTTATAATAAGATCCCCATAGTGGGACTATAGGGCTCAGGGTTTAGGGTTAGGAGATGAGATGTAGGCATTTCACTCGGAGGCTGAGCTACATTGTCTATGGAACGGGTTTTCAGAGTTTGGGTCATTCCATACAGTGAGGCTTCTCTGGGCTCTGGTTCCCTATAGCGCGCGAAACGATGCAAGTTAAAATTGAAAGGTCCTTAGTCAGGTTTGATGTAACGCAAGTTCGAGGTTATAGTCCCCTTAAGTCAATAGAATATGGCATTGGGTATATTATAATCAGATCCAATATACCCCATATTCTATCTACTTAAGGGGGACTATACATTCAGTAATGAGCCAAGCAAGGTTTAGGGCGAAGGCAACAGCTTGAAGACGCTGAAGAAGATTCAAGGGAGGGAATTTCGAGGGCTGCTTCAAAATTCAGATGCGGACACACAGGGATAAAAACACACACCCCAAACCCTAAACCGCTTGGGGAGGGCGATCTTGAGAATCTTTCAAGCCCCTGTTCTTACCACGACGCTGTAGGTTTAGGAAGTAGGGTTTAGGGTCCAAAGCATGCTAAGAAGAGGCAATGCCATACGTACGGGGTCTATGGTTTGGGGTTAAGGGGTTGGGGCGATATCTTGTAGGTGCTGAAATCATATGCCTGATCCCAACCTTCAAACTCCTCAAACTAAAGCCTGAATCCAAAATAACCTAGGTAGCTAGTATTGGGATCAAAACTCCTTACATCCGGTAATGGAC